GTTCCACAGGGGTTATTAGAGGCGGCAGCTCTCCCTGATCCCAGTACCTCACCTGAAATTCTTACCTCAGCCTTGTCTTCTGTGGGGCCTCCTGAGGCCCCGGCAGAGCCTGAACAGGGTCCACGTGAGGATGAGTGTCCCCCTTCCACATCCTCTGTGTCCCCAGGCATCACACCCCCTGACACTGATACAGAGGCAACAGATCTACCTCCAGAATCTGGTAAATAGGCATCAGTTTGAAACTGAAGAGGCTGATGTTTGTTTTGTGGAATATCAAGAAAGCATTATTTAAAGTAAAATTTTAGATGTCACAGATTTTTTTATTTATTTATTTTTTATTGACCTTTAGACACGTCATTGTTAAACCAAGACAGAAAGAGGCCAAGAAAGTTGTCACACAGAGTTTTGGATTGTACCATCGAAGAAATGTCTGTTGCTTCTACACAAAAAAAGGTAAGTCTGAACAGTGACTGAAAAAATGCTTCTAATTCCGGTGTTTACTCTTTGAGGTATTCACAAAATAATTTTCCTTCATTTCACAGGATCTAAGTTACTGTGGAATTACCTCAGAGGTGAAGGTGTTAATCAAGAAAACTCAGGTTCTTTGAGAGCACATTTTTATCCATATACTCTTTTATGCCGATGATGCTGGATTATTATAATGTAAACAATCCTACTTTGGCCAGGTTGAATCTGTGAAGAAAGAGAATCCCACGTCCGACCCTGCTCCCCAGCAGCTGAAGCGGAAAATAGTCTGCACTCCGAACAGAACCCCCAGTCCCCGTGGATCGAAGACCCCAAAGCAGGAGAGTGAGACGGAGGTTTGCAGCTCTGATGAGAAACCAAAAGTTAACACTGGAATGCCCAGCCCAAAACCTGAGGTGTTTTATTTGTTTACTTGTTTTACTTGTAAGGCCTGAAATGAAAAAGATTGAAAGCAACTTCTTGATTTATTGATTTATTGCTGTGTCTCCGTAGGTCCAATTTCTCAGTCTGAGTGACTCCATCAACTCCCAGGTCGATGTTAAAGGGAAAATAGGAGGAGCGTCCTCGAAGGAAAATGTTTGTCAGGTGTGATCAAAAGTTTTTAAAATGTTAGAAAAGTAAAGAAATCAGACTGAGCTCAATCAAAACTGTTTTAACTCATTTACTTTGAAGCTTTGAAAAAACCCCGATCAAATGAATGAGTAACACAGCTCAACACTTTTGGGATCGTAACATCAATCCTAGAATTGTTTGACTTTTCTGACTCTGTGAATCTGTTTGTTCCAGGTTTGTGAGAGAGGTGGAGACCTGCTGTCGTGTGACGGCCACTGCTACGGAGCCTTTCACCTTCAGTGTATCGGCCTCTCTGTGGCTCCCCGCGGAAAACTCTTCTGTAATGAATGCAAAACAGGTGGGCTGCCGCTGCTTGGTCCTTCAAATGTATCAATTATTTGACGTATCCAGTCGTCGACTGGATTGGACGATCTGGTGGCCCAGGTTTGGCCCGCGGGCCACCAGTTGATGGTCACTGTTATCAGTGCCTGTGCAGTTGAATTAGGGAGAGCTGAGTTCTCTGTGTTCATTGCAGGTGTCCACACATGCTTCGTATGTAAGAAGTCCGGTGATGGGATAAAGCGCTGCATCATCCCACTGTGTGGGAAGTTCTATCATTCTGACTGTATATCAGCGTACCCTGGCACGCAGCCACACAACAAAGGCTTCCGCTGCCCCCTGCATGTGTGTCTGTCGTGTCACATCAGCAACCCCCTGAACGTCTGCAGCTCTAAGGGTAAGTTCTAACTCCGGGTCTCTTGGTGTGTGTCTGTGTGTGGTCCTGGTACTTCATTGTATGATTTCAAGTTCATACATAGGCATCCACCTTTTCAATTTTATTTATGTGGCAGTTAGAGGCACACAGAGCAGTTGTACATTAAAACTAATGCAGAAATATAATGCAGAAGGAAATGGATATTTATAAAAAATATTGAGAAATATGTGGTTTTGGTATTTCTTGCACAAGAGGAACTAAATGTTTTTGGGGTTGTTTTTTTTTTATATTATTATTTAAAATGTTTTTGGGGTTGTTTTTTTTTTAAATTTACTTAATCTGTAAAAACAAGTTTGTCAGCCTGTGAGTTGTTTTGAATCAAACAACAGTTCCAGCACAAAGTTTGTTTTCACACCCAAACCTCTGTATTTTGCCATAATATTTTCTTTTGTCTTTTTTCAAGTTCTAATAACAACACAGTTTTCTCTGAAAAGTCCTGAAGGCAGTTCCTGTCATTCTAATAACATGAATGAATCCTGGTTTATTTTTATCTAATAACAACTTAATAATTAGTTTAACAATCTGCACATGGTGCTTTTTGAAACCATGTTCCAGTTTATAATTATCCTTCTGCTGCTCTGCACAATATACATCTAAATATATGTTATATAAAAATCAGTACGTCAGGGTGCTGTTTATCTGATGCAGTTTAAAACTTCCATTGAACTTGACCACAGGACGTGGCTGGAGTTTTTCCATAAAACACCGTTCTTTACTTTAAAAGCCAGGCTGATGAGTTTTCAGAATCTGTTCAGTGAGCGATGTGTTTGTATTTATTTATATTTGTAGGTCGATTGGCTCGATGTGTGCGCTGCCCGGTGGCCTATCACGCTAATGACAACTGTATGGCAGCGGGCAGCCTGGTGCTGGCCAACAACAGTTTCCTGTGTCCGAACCACTTCACTCCTCGCAAGGGCTGCAAGAACCATGAGCACATCAATGTGAGCTGGTGCTTCGTCTGCTCTGAAGGTGAGCACTGTTCACATTACCTTTACAATAGACGGTGGTGATGTTTTTTTTTAACATTACCTTTACAATAGACGGTGGTGATGGTTTTTTTTTAACAATTGTAGTAGCCGTCTGCAAATCGACCACTAAAACTCACCACATTATTATGTTACAATATCGTCTTATATTTAGGATAAGAAAAGTCCCTTATTTGTCTCACAGTGGGGAAATTCACAAAAGGCCGTCGCCCTAACGTGTGTGTTGTGTGTTTGCTGTGATGTTTTTGTTTCAGGGGGCAGCCTGCTCTGCTGTGAGTCCTGTCCTGCTGCTTTTCACAGAGAGTGTTTGAATATGGAGATGCCTCAGGGCAGCTGGTTCTGCAACGACTGCAAAGCTGGGAAGAAGCCACGTATTAAGGACATACTGTGGGTCAAATGGGGGCGCTACAGGTAAGCTAATTACACAGTGTTAACAATCAACAGATGGTGGATTCACATGTATCTGTATGAGCCTTGACCTCTCTCTCTCTCTCTCTCTCTCGGTCTGTCATTCTGTAGGTGGTGGCCAGCAGAAGTCTGTCTGACCAAAGATGTCCCAAACAACATCTTGAGGATGAAACATGAAGTTGGAGAGTTCCCAGTACATTTCTTTGGTTCCAAAGACTTTGTGTGGACGTACCAGGCCAGAGTCTTCCCGTACATGGAGGGTGACACTCACAACATCGAGAAAATGGGGAAAGGTGCCGATGCAGTGTACAAAAAAGGTACGACCGTACGTTAGCAATGAAACAAAATTGTTATTATTGTTTCTTTAATTTGCACAAGCTCCCTACATCTCTGTTTTCTTTTCTTTTTTTGTCACAGCTCTGACTGAAGCTGCTGAGAGGTTCAGAGAACTACAGGCAGAAAAGGAAATGAGGCAGCTTCAGGAGGACAAAAAGAATGACAAGAAACCTCCTCCTTACCGACACATCAAGGTGTGTGCTTCACTCTGGATATAAACTCACCCGAGGTCACAGACCTGGTCTAAAAAAAAAACCTGTCTTCCTCTCCATCAGGTGAACCGGCCAATAGGAAAAGTGCAGATCATCACAGCGGACCTGTCCGAAATCCCACGTTGCAACTGTAAGGCCTCTGATGAGAACCCCTGCGGCATCGACTCGGAGTGCATCAACCGCATGCTGATGTACGAATGCCACCCTCAAGTGTGTGTGGCGGGGGAGCGATGTCAGAACCAGGCCTTCACCAAGCGTCAGTACACTCACGTGGAGATCTTCAGGACTCTGTCACGGGGCTGGGGTTTACGCAGTGTGACGGACATTAAGAAGGTAAGCTGATAAGAGATGCCGACATTTTCATCTTCATCCTTTGGCTTCTTTAGCTCAGATATACATATTTTTTTATGTTGTTTATTGTCAGGGAGCCTTTGTGAGTGAATACGTTGGAGAGGTCATAGATGAAGAAGAATGTCGAGCCAGGATCAAACATGCACAGGAGAACGACATCTTCAACTTCTACATGCTTACACTGGACAAGGTGAGGCTGAAGCCACAGCTACGTGGAGACAAGGATGTTGACCTTGGTCAAGTCCTTGAAGAGTGTCCAAAATGGGAAGTGTTGAGGACACAAGGTTCTCCTGTTATTTTTGTTAACTTAAAATTAAGGTTTTTTTTCTCAATGAAACAATAACAGTGTTCTAAGAACTTCTAGGAAGTCTGAGCATCAACCTCAAAATGTAGAGAAATGTCTCCCCGAATGGGTGGAACAGAATGAAAGTCAAAATGTAGAGAAATGTCTCCCCGAATAGGTGGAACAGAATGAAAGTAAATGCGTTAGAAGTTTATATTTTTCAATAATATTATTTTTATTTTACACATGAAAAACCAAGCTCGTGCTGTTACACCTGCCAACAGTATTCAGTGTTACATTAAAGTGATGGACGCCATCAGTTAATTCTTTTTATTCTCCTTTGTCCTTTTTCCAGGACCGGATCATTGATGCCGGCCCCAAAGGGAACCAGGCTCGCTTCATGAACCATTGCTGTCAGCCAAACTGTGAAACCCAAAAATGGACGGTGAACGGTGACACCAGGGTGGGACTGTTCGCTCTTCAGGACATCCCCAAAGGTTTGAGAAGCAACATTTGAACTCTGTTCTACTGGGAATGATAAGTAAAGCGTGTGTTTGAGAGTAACAGCAGACTGATGACACATATGTGTGACCATGCAGACGTGGAGCTGACTTTCAACTATAACCTGGAGTGTCTGGGCAACGGGAAAACTGCCTGTAAATGTGGAGCACCCAACTGCAGTGGGTTCCTGGGTGTTCGCCCAAAGGTAAAAGTCTCAGTTTTTTTCCATCTCATTTTTATTAGTTAATTAAAGCATCAGTAAATTTCATCATCGTCTTTGAGCTTCACATTAGTCACCACTGAGTTTGGGTCTTAGAAAAGAAAGTCTTTGATGAAAATAATAAGTCGACGGAATTAACATTCTCTCCCACCATTTTTATTCAGAACCAGCCACCAGCTGAGAAAGTAAAGCTGAAAGATGGAAGAAGAAGAGGAATGAAAAAGAAGACAAAGCAAGTGGTGACAAAGGAAAGAGAGGACGAGTGCTTCAGCTGTGGGGACGGGGGACAACTCGTGTCCTGTAAGAAGCCTGGCTGTCCTAAGGTCTATCACGCCGACTGTCTCAACTTGGCCAAAAGGCCTGCAGGCAAGTGGAGATAAATGGATTTGACTGTTGATGTGAGGAATGTCAACATGTAACTCAGGTCAACAAGGACCCCTGTGTTTGCAAGGATTTCTTTTTTTAAACATCATGAGATTTTCTGGTTAAATGAAGGGAAAACCTGGAGCCTCACGTCAACCTTTTTTCTGTGGAAAGTCTCATTTTCATTAGGTGACTAATGAATTTCCTCATCATTATTTCACCTCACGTTATTATTTAGTTTTTGATTAGAAAAGTTTGTCTTAAAAATAAAGGCCAATGACAGATATTATAAAACAGTGAAATTAACCCTTCTCCCAAGTTAGCAGTTGTTATGACAAAATTATATTCTGTGTTATTATCCACAATTTGACTTGTACTGAAACTGATGTAGTCAGTAGAAAAACACAGAAACGACCCCACTTGTACTGAAACTGATGTAGTCAGTAAAAAAAAGAAAAAACACAGAAACGACCCACTGACCTAATGCGTGGTAGCCAGTGATGGGAAATCTACTCATTATCGTTTCTCCAGTTCCTGTAAGGCCTTGAAAATTTTACCCACATACTCCCTGTTTCTGAGTTACTGTTAGTCCAGCTAACCTCACAGGTGGTGATGGTACTGAAGGCAACTGGACCCCACACATATTCTTGTACGCCCACACAAATGTATCCAGCTCATAAATATAACATGCACGAGTGCTCTCGTACAGACAAGTGCTTGTGTTGCTCTCTGTGAGACCTGCGCCCCAGAGCTTCATTAAAGCTTCGACAACAACTTTCAATAAATTCTCCAACGAACTCTTCAAAACGAACAACGTTGTTCATTTTCTGTTTCATTCTTTATTCCAAGGTGACTAAAATACCGAAGCACGGTGCACATACATACGCTTTAACTACTGAGATACCTTTAATAATAAGAAGGTTTCTTGTTTCTCCTCCACGTGTAAAGTTTACAGCTTATTAATTACTCATTTTGTCCCCAGGACGGTGGGAGTGTCCGTGGCACCAGTGTGACCTTTGTGGAAAGGAGGCGGCTTCCCTCTGCGAGATGTGTCCCAGCTCCTACTGTAAGGAGCATCGTGACGGTATGCTCTTCATTTCCAAGTTGGATGGCAAACTGTCCTGCAGTGAACACGACCCCTGTGGACCTGATCCACTGGAGCCAGGAGAGATCCGCGAATACATGCACAACGCAACCTCCGTGAGGCCTCGGGCCGCAGCCACACACGTCACCCCCACGACGGCCTCGGACTCAAAACAAACCAATTCTTCTTCTGCTGCCCCCAGTGCGATGGACAGGCACAAACCTCCTCCTCCTCCTCCACGACTCTACATCAACACGAGGACTTCCACCTCCAGCTTTGTCCCCTCCAGTAAGTCTTACCTCACAAACAGTCCAGAAGGATTCTCCACCTGTCCCTCCTCCAAGGGTGAGGTGGAGGATGGGGAGGTGTGTGGGATCGAGTTAGAAGAGGTGGACGATGACTATGATGACGGTAATGGTGACGAAGAGGAAGACGATGAGGAAGATGATGAGGAAGACGATGAAAATGAGGAAGAAGATGGCGATGATGAGGAAGATGACGTCATGGAGGTAGTCGACGATGAAGTGGTGGAGCCTCTTTACGGAGATGACACTCTGGAGGAAGATAATGCTGATGATGATGATGAGGAAGAGGAGGATGGAGGTAGTGTGTGTGACACTTGGGGAGATTATATGGATGAAGATGCTGAAGAAGGGGAGGTGGTGTGGGATGAGCAGGAAGAGTGGGAGTGAGTGGAGGCTGATGGCTCTGTCTGATTCTCTAAATCTATACAGCAAAAACTCTTAATAGACACTCAGAGGATAGAAAAAGTTGAATATTTTGGTACCTACTTGAACGCAACACTGCCTTCACTTTGGTACTTCATGGCCTTTTCATCCACGGCTGGACTGACAGTGGGGATGTGTACTGGTGCTACGGCTCTTTATACTGTCAGTGCGTTTATTTGTGTCTGGTGCTGTCGATTTTGTTCTCTCTCTTGATATTGTTTACATTTTTGGTCTTTTTAAAATGTTTGTTATGTAAGAAAATACTTTTTTTTTCTGACCAAACTCACTATAAGGGCATCTTGTGTTGCTGTTACTGTCTTAACCTTGTCTTTTTATTACAAGTGATTTAAAAAAAAACTGAGCTCTCACTGGTTCATGTTACAGTAAGACACAACAGTTCTGTTTGTTGTGCCTGTGAAAAGTGAAAATAAACCCACTTCTTTATGTCTGATCATTGTTGTCCGGACTAACACAGTCTTATTTTTCTTTAGTAGATTTCCAGACTTGTAGAAACAAAATACTACTTCACCATCACAAACACCACTGCTGTTCCACTGTTTTAAATAAGAGAAATATATTTTTTGCCTTTACAATCACTGATATCTGATATTTTCATTTGTTTGTATACTTATTTAACAGTTAGATGATGTTTATCAGTAATCATTGGGGTTCTTTTCTCTTGAGTGTTTTTCTTTGAAAGGTTTACCCATTCATGTTTTTGTTACTTTATAAATGGGTGGTAAGAATTTGTGACCTGGATCATTTTCACTGCAATCCATTTTCTACTGATTTCTCAAAGGTTTAAGAACAAATGTACACAGTGAAACAAATTACAACAGGTCTAAATGAAGGAAATAAAACAAAACACAGTTTCATAACCATGTTTTATGTGAACTTTATTTCTACTTCATAAATACCTCGAAATCCTTGGATACTTTAGTTGTTAATACAAGAGCAATATCTGCTAGTACATTCTATCTATCTATCACAAATTTTAAAGAGATTTGAACGGTCTCACACTAAAACACATTAAGACTAAGACTGATTGTACTGACAGCTATCACCTGTTGGTGGCGCGGTCTCTAAAAATAGTGACGTCTCATCACAGAAGAAGACAAACGCGGGTGACGTTATTACGTTACATGTAAAATGGCGACGGAGACGTAACGCTTTTCAAAACACAAGTGAGAAGTGCAAAACAGCACCGTATACGTAAACGACCTGTTCTTTTCTCAGAAACACCATCCGAGATATTAGCTGCGTTGACTAAGGTAAAGTCATTAAATAAATTAAATGTTAAGCGGGTTTTAGTCAGCACTTGTGTTAGCTTAAAGCTAATGCTTAGCTCCTGTTTTAATGCGTCTGCGTCAAAGAAACCGAGTAGCCTGCTCTTTAAAACCCCACAGTATTTCTCTTTTTTCAATACAGTATCAAGTATTTACATGTAAGCAGGTTGACTTTTTTATTTTTCACGTATTCATCTGAATTAATAATGAGAACTCATTGTGTGTATATTCACATTCACAACAAAACGTGCACGTAACCCACGCTGTCCATTATTTCGCATGTCGTTTTTCCTGTTTGCAGATTAAGCCATGACCGAGCAGGCTGAAAACAGCACAGAGGGCATCGTGAGCCTGGATGAGCCCAAAAAGATGACCAGGGAAGACTGGAGGAAGAAGAAGGAGTTGGAGGAGCAGAGAAAGCTGGGAAATGCTCCTGCTGAGGTGGATGAAGAGGGAAAGTAAGTACATACTTACGTAGCATAACGGTAACAAAAGTATTAACATTTACAAAAGTTACAATTGTATAATATCATGGCATATAGTAGCTATTGCTGAAGTAGAAGTTCTGTTTAGGGATTATGTCTCTTCAATCACTGAAGTTCACATATAAAACCTGCAAAACAAATAAATCAGGTTGCATGTATTGGATAAAAGTTTGTATATGTATCAAAGTAAGTACATACTTACGTAGCATAACTGTAACAAAAGTATTAACATTTACAATAGTAAATGTTTGTATTGGATAAATGTTTGTATATGTATTGACCAAAGTGTTCCATACTGACAACTGAAATAAATTGAAAACCTGTTCTCCACCACAGGGACATCAATCCCCACATCCCACAGTATATTTCATCAGTACCCTGGTACATTGACCCGTCTAAAAGGCCCACACTGAAGCATCAGCGACCACAGGATGAGACTGAGACGCAATATTCGATGATTGGAGAGTGGTACAAGAGAGGAGTACAAGAGGTGAGAACAAGTTGATTGATTGCATTCCATTGCCTGAAAAAAATAAAATAGAGTGGGAATCAGCAGCTTCTTCTTCTGTATCCTCACAGAATGCAGTGGCCACTAAATTTCGCAAAGGTTCTTGTGAAAACTGTGGTGCCATGACACACAAGAAGAAAGACTGCTTGGAGGTAAAACTTGTTGAATATTTTCCTTTTACTTCCACGCTCCTCTAATCTTCTAACATGTAACCATTATAATTCTTTCTTCACATCACCAGCGTCCCAGAAAAGTTGGGGCCAGGTTCACAGGCACAGGCATAGCTCCAGATGAACACAGTCAGATCCAGCTTGACTTGGACTATGACGGCAAGCGGGATCGCTGGAATGGATATGACCCAGAGGAACACCAGCGCATTGTGGAAGAGTACGCTAAAGTGGACCTGGTGAGCCATTTAAGCTTAGAAGAATTTCATTTGATTCATTAAAAAGTTGATACATTGATATCAAAGTAGTAGGTAAAGCACATGATAAAACATAAAACTTTGCATTCTCTCCATTCCAACAGGCCAAAAGAACTTTAAAGGCCCATAAACTTCAGGATGAGTTAGCCTCTGGGAAACTGGACCAGAATGTAAGTTGTTTCTCTAACTGTAAATGCAATGGTCACTAATTTACTTTTTACTTACTACAGACCTTACTGGGTTTTTTCTTTTCTATTTTTTATTTTGCAGGAGTTTGAACATGACAGTGAGGATGAGGATGAAGATAAATATGCTGATGACATCGACATGCCCGGACAGAACTTTGACTCCAAGAGAAGAATCACTGTCAGAAATCTGCGTATCAGAGAAGACACAGCCAAAGTAAGAGACACAGGATTATCTGTCCAGGATTATCCTCACATGCTTTTGTTAATTATGTTAATTAATTATGTGTTTGGCATTATATTTGCACTGGATATTTCCCACTATTATCCTTTGATATTGATAGCAATTTTTAACAATTGTTTGGGGGAAAGATTTTGAGGCTAACTTTAAAAAGTAAACTTGGTCCAAATTAAATCATAAACAGCTTTTTGACAAGGTAAGAATAATTCCAACCTCTTAACTTTGTCTCTCACAGTACTTGAGGAATTTAGATCCAAACTCCGCCTACTACGATCCAAAGACCCGTGCCATGAGAGAGAACCCTTACTCCAACACGGGCATGAATGCGGACGAGTGAGTCACTGCTGCCGAGTTTCTCATAAAACTTGTTTCCTATTGGTTTAAATCCTACATATTTTAATGTTTTGTTTGACAGAGTGGGCTACGCTGGAGACAACTTTGTTCGCTACTCTGGAGACACAATCACTTTGGCTCAAACCCAGTGTAAGTCACCAAATTATTTTCACCTCATTTCTGTCACAGAGTATCAAGTATCAACGTCTGTTCTCAGACAGGAGCACGTATCACTGCTGCTGAATAACCTTTCCTGCTTCTTCTTCTTCTCCTGACAGTGTTTGCCTGGGAGGCCTACGAGAGAGGATCCGAGGTCCATCTGCAGGCTGATCCCACCAAGCTGGAGCTGCTCCACCAGTCCTTCAAGGTCAAGAAGGAAGACTTCAAAGACAAAGAGCGCGAGAGCATCCTGGAGAGAGTAGGTTCCTGAAACGGTTTGATTTAAAACACCCTTATTACACACACACATTTTAATGTGTAAATGTTTTATGGCAGATAAAACAGTTTTGTCGTCTGTTCATCTGAACAATGGAACTTTTCAAGCTGAAATTGTCCACACGAGCTGATAAATGTTCAGCCTGTCTGATGACGCCGCTCTCTTTGTTTGTGAACATCAGTATGGAGGTCAAGAGCACTTGAACGCTCCACCGCGGGAGCTGTTGCTGGCTCAGACAGAGGACTATATGGAGTACTCTCGTCACGGCGCCGTGATTAAAGGACAGGAAAAGGCGGTCGCTCGCTCCAAGTATGAGGAGGACGTTCTCATCAACAACCACGCGGTGAGGAGGACAGAAACGCGTCACGGCTCTTTTATATATTGCAGACTTTGTTCCTTTTGTTTACATAAAAAGATTTCTTTCTTTTTCAAAAGTGTATCTGGGGCTCTTACTGGATGGATGGCTTCTGGGGTTACAAGTGCTGCCACTCCATGGTGAAACAGAGTTACTGCACGGGAAAAACTGGAATTCAAGTAGTAAGTTGGCATTTTTCTATGGCTCTGATTTTATCCATACTGTAAAATCATTCTATGTTTTGGTATAATAATAGATTTAGTTAAGATACTTTTTTTTGTAAAATCGTTCTATGTTTTGGTATAATATATTTAGTTAAGATACATTTTTTTTGTAATTTTTAAACAGAACAGCACAGACTGCGTTCCATTTGAAGAGGGGCTTGTGGAGCAACAGGAGGAGGAACAACCAAAGTCTCTGCTGGAGGTAAGAGATGCTGAAGAGGTTTACACAATTGTCTTGAAATAACATGTAACCAATGTATGGTAATGTTTCTTTCATTTGGACTTATCAGATGCATCGGGACAAGATGGTAAAAGAGAAGAAGGAGAAGAAGAAGAAAAAGAAGAACAAGAAGCGCGAGTCTGACAGCGATGACTCTGAAGACGAAGAAAAGAAGAAGGAAAAATTAAAGAAGGTACGAAATGAATGAACTAATACATTTGCACAAATACAAAACACTAACCAGTTTGTAAATAAAAACTAGGTCTGGATTTTATGTCATTCCTGTGACTGACCTCTGACCTCTGTCTGTGTCCCAGGCTCTGGATGCAGAAGACAAACGCGTGAAGCACGTAGAAACCATAATGCAGCTGGATGAGAGGAAAAGGCCGTACAACAGCCTACTGGAAGTGAAAGCACCCACGGAGGAGGAGATGGAGGCCTTCCGTATGAAGCGTCCACGTCCAGATGATCCTATGGCTTCCTTCCTGGGACACTAACCTCCTCTGCCAGACTCCCTGTAAATGTTAGACCTGAACCAGAGCAGCTGCTCTGTGGAAGAATATATTGGACTCAGTTTGTTTTGTACAGTTAAAGCAGGAAACCTGCTGTTTGGTTGCAAAGTTGTTTTCTTTTCTTTTTCTAACCTCATTTTGTCCCATTTATAGCACAAATGATTTTTTTCCACCAAACTGTATAGTGCTGCAAAGAAACAAAAACACAATTACCTTTCAATATAATTGGATAACCTAATGTTTTTAGAAGAAAAGAGTTTAAAAAAATGTTGTTGCTTAGTTTTCTGTTTGCCATTGACCTTTTTTTTCTTCTTTTTATACAGTTATGAACCAGTTGCATCAGAATCTTTTTGGTGGAACTGGTTCAACACCTAATCACAGCGGCCCCTCATTACAAAGAACATTGTACGATTATTTCCTGCAAATACTCACTGTTGCATACAGCTTTATTCACTGTTAATAATGCCCTTTTTTTAATAAAATGCTGTAACATGGTTACTTTAGTTACTATTGTGATGCTGTAACATGGTTACTTTAGTTACTTTAGTTACTATTGTACTATTGTAATAAGGAAGAGAAACGGTTTAAGATGTGAGTTTGCTGGTGTCAGATGTGATGGTCTGAGCTTCATGAGTTGACCTGCCTGGTAAAACATTTAAATGACATGACACTGGATGTCAAAGATGGTCATCTAATCAAATATGTTTCCCAAAACACATTATTTAAAATAATCTGCACCTGATAAGAACAATGCAGACGCTACCAAAGCCTGAATCCTATTTTTGTTTTCTCGCAAATCTTCAAATGTGGAGGAAGTGACGCTTTTGTCTTCATGTCAAAAGTCACTAACCATTCATGTGATTTGTGTTCCCATGGCGATTAAGTAAACTGCCTCACCCAACAGCTGGAACTTTCTCTTCTCTGCTCTCAGCTCCACATTATTGTGTAAAAACACCAACGCTCTTTTGCTGACATTCAGAGTGGATACAACACATTACTGTTATATTAGTAGCATTGACTGTTCACTCTACCATTACACAGAAATGGATTATTGTTTTTAATCCAGTTTCATCTTTGTGTCACAAAACACACACAAAAATCAGCCCTGTTCATGCAGTCTGTTAGACAACGTCCTGTTTCCCTGTGTGAGTTCTAACAAGTTATAGGTCACAGCCTCATCTGCACTGTAAAGCATACAACTGTACTGACTTGAACACAGTGACATCATGGTGAAAGTATTCCTTGGCGGTGCATGGGCTGATTCGCCTTTCTGTGCAGCGCTTCTCCCGGAATCTTATCTCCCTGATTTTGGGAAAATCATGTAGGAATGTATGAGTTCTCACGTGCGGAAAAAGATAAGTTTTGGCGGAACTGGAAAATGCTTAAAGGTCACAGCTTTTCTTCTGGTGAGTTCTCTCTCTCTGTGTGTGTGGAGTCTACAGTTTGCTCTCTGTGCTTTCAAACTTCCCGTTCACTGCATTCTTTGCTCTAAATAATCCATGCATGGGAACTGCAACGGCTTTTTGTAACCATGCAGTTGTCATCGCGTTACTAAAACCACTAACAAGATTCAAATTGAACTTACAGCTGAAATGTCAACACCAAATGGTGAAAGTGAGTTCAAACCTCAATAAACAGCTACTGTGTCCACCGCGGCTCCGCAGTGGTCGACATGCTCCAGATGTGTCTGTGGTGCTGGACGATGTCAGCCGTCGTAACCCTGTCCATAAATTCCACAACTAAGAAAGGTCGCAACATCACCATCCACTCCTCACAGATGGTCTGCAGTTTGCCCGGTCCGGCAGGGCCTGCAGGGAACCCAGGGTTTCCTGGACCACCAGGGGCGGTGGGTTCAATGGGGATCCCAGGAAAAGATGGCCCAGATGGGAAGGATGGAGAGAAGGGAGAGAAGGGAGACAGAGGTGGGTGTCTGCTGAATGTTTAAATCTAACTGCTACAGTACACTCCCTGTTAGAAGCTGATTTCAATGTCTTGATGCAAAATATTTTAGCTCTTTGTTCTGTCCAGGGGCGCCCCCTTAGGGGGTCCAATATTGGTTTAATGACTCATTAATCAGGCATAAGAATGATGTGTGTCATTGAATCAACAAATAAAATTCATATTTTATTTTATTGACAAATAAAACTGAAGTCTGAAGTCGTGAAAGAGCCACAAGTGGCCCGGCAGCCACAGATTGAAGACCTATGCTGTTTTTTAAAGCTGGTTTAAATATATTAATTATTTTTTCGGAGTTTAGCGTGATCAATGTTTTCACTAAAACACGTGAGATTTTACTGACTTCAGATGAAAGAATTGTCAATTTTCTGACACTATGGTCAGGTGATCCAGGAAGGACGGGAAACCAAGGCAAGCCTGGAGTCAAGGGCCGTGAAGGAGTGATTGGTAAGGCCGGACCTCGGGGTCTGAAAGGTCTGCGGGGGTCACCGGGGATATCTGGAAAACGTGGACCAAAGGGCCAGAATGGCGAAGTGGGCCAGGAAGGACCTGTAGGCCCAACGCCAGCAGTGGGAAGTTTGTCTGCGTTATCCCCGGAGTCTACTATTTCACCTACGACATCACAGTAGCAAATAAACACCTGGCCATCGGGCTGCTGCACAACGGACAGTACAAAATCAAAACATTTGATGCAAACACGGGAAACCACGATGTGGCGTCCGGTTCCACGGTTCTCCACCTGCAGAAGGACGATCAGGTGTGGCTGCAGATCTTCTACTCTGAACAGAACGGACTCTTCTTTGACCCCTTCTGGACGGACAGTACCTTCACGGGCTTCCTTATCTATGCTGACCAGGAGTTTCTCACTGAGTCTGACAGGAAAGCCAACAGTAAGGATGACAGTTAGTGGCTTTGGTGGTGGAATCCATCCATAGGTTTACATGACACGTCTCCTGTTGGAGGGCATCAGCTGTGTCCTGCTGTTGCAGAAATTCTAACACTAGGAGGCACACAATGAAGGGAGAACATCCTATGACATCAGTCCAAGGTGCTTGCTCAACACAGCACAGTCACTGAAGGTGCTTGCTCAACACAGCACAGTCATAGTCCTGCCAGGGCTGGGATTTGAACCGACAACCCTTCGATTATAAAACCAGATAAGTCAATAATTGCAACAATACTTATTACTAATGTTACTACCTAATACTCATGTACTGTATACACCTTTACACCTTTGCAGGTTGTTTCAAATCAATTAATCTAATTTTGTATTTATTTTCTATTTACACAGTTTATAGATTTTAATTAAAATATATTGCAATTTAAAATAATATAATAGTGATATTGATATTGATATTAGTGATATAATGTATTTCCGGAGCTGATTTTATTTTATTTCCCCCCTTAGGGACAGGACCAATGGTGCTGCTGTTAGTAGCAACTGGACATTTAGTTTTGTTTTTGTTCAAACCAGATATTTGGTCAAGTAGTGAAACCTGAGAAAAACATATTTTTTCGCGTAATAATGTGACGTTATTCTCGTGAAAATACTGTTTTTTCGTAATAGTTCGGCTTTACTCTAATAAATCTTACAACCCCATTTTATTAAATTGACAATCTGATTTCAACAAGTTAGCTCAATGTTCTAAAAAAAAAAAACTTTTGCTGCTTTTGCTTTGCCGCGCCATCCTGCAATAACTCCATACCTCCACTAGAGGGCACATCCCCCACTTTAGTAGACTCTCGGCCGGCGCGTGGATGCTTGTAGTTTCAGTGAGGTGTAAAGGACTACAACTCCCACAGTCACAGGAAGCGCAGAAGGAGGCGGATCCTCTCAGCCTCTGACCGCAGCAGCAGCAGCGGCGGCGGCAGCAGCAGCTGGTGCAGCCGAGGAGGAGACTTTGTCAACGCGGAGCCAGCGGAGGAAAACGTTTAAACCGAGTCTGTTGGAATAAAAAAAAAAGTACAGTTTGGAGGAAACGTCTCCGGTTCGGGTTAGACTTTGGCCGCTGGTTGGCGAACACTCCGGCCGGTGCTAAGTTGAAGTTTGGGTAGAATTTGATCGGTTTCTCACTCAAAGTTGAGCCGAAGAAGAGTTCTCTCATTCAGGATGTCGGAGTGAGACAAAGGGGTCTGGGGTTGATTCCCGTCGCAGCGGTGAGTGAGAGGCACATGTTTGAAACCACGGAGAATTAAAGGTTATATTGTTTTTTCAGCTTATGGACGAATAATAAACGGGTTACGTAAACGAATTGTTTAATTACTAATTTTTTTCATCACCGACCGGTGTTTTTTTTCCTGTATCAAAGCGAGGCCACTTTAGACATTCAACTTGTTTAACTGCGTTTAGTCTGAAGTACATTTAAATGTTTGGTTTTATTTTTTATTGAATACACGACTGTGATGGTTCATTAGAGTGTTGATGGTACAGAAGTCGTTGAAGTATGGCATTTAAATTCCTCAGCTGAGACACACACACACACACACACTCCGGATAGTGTTTCCCCCTAACTTTATGTCGGGACACCCACTTTTTTAAAGATGACTCAGTTAACATTACACATCACAATTTTAGCCGAACAGAACTTGGAATTTTTACTAGTGTGACTACATTACAGTCAAGGCTAACGAATTTATTTCTGGTAAATGAATCACAGCTTTATTAAATTAAGGCATTATTACACGTAGGTATTATTTAAGTTACAGGCTCTCTGTCAAGACTAGTACATGAAAAAAGAAAAGCAATGAGCTTGAAAAGTAGAAAAATATTCTTAAATCATAGAGGAGCTAAATCTAATCATTCATCAAAATTCTGCACATTTAGGTCAGAATAGTGCGGTATATCCTGTTATAAATGTTGAAAATGACTTTGACATGGTGAAGTTAAAGAGTGATTTTTTTTTTTACCCCAACAAGGAATGACGTCTTCAATTTGATTTAATAATATAATTAACAGTCTTTTCATACCAGTCCTTCTGCAGGCATCTATTGTTTGACCTGCTTTCAGTTTATTACAAACCTGACTGACAACTGCTTCTGATAGGTTTGATGCTAAGAATCTTTTTTTTTTTTTTGCCTGGCCTCTGTTTGACCACTAGGAGACATGAGTCGAGAATACAATGTTAAATACAGAACTGAAAATAGAGGACCCAGTGCTGTTGAACCCATACCTGACTCTCAGTTTCCCTTCTGGTGTTGTTTCCTTACAGATATACTTACTACGTCTTCTTGTGACTATAAGTTCTCTCACAGTCCACTAGTCTGGAACAAAACCTTGTTGCTGCAGCTGCAGCTCTGGTGCTTGTGACATCACAACTCAGTCGCCGAGTTTGGTGGGAAATTCTAGAATCATTGCTGATTCTGATGTCGACTACTCTGCTAGTACAGTTTTTTAGGGAAACGTCATTTATTGACAGTATGAGATCATATCATTATGACTTTATTGAAGTGTGGTTGGGTTTTCTTGCACAGGTCCAAGTTGATTCTAGAATTCTCCCCTGGATGGGAAAGATGGAGAGGGAGCTGCAATGGTGGAAAGGACAGCTGGCTGCAGATATCCATCAGTCCCTCCGCATCAAGGTGAGTCTGCTGGGTTAGAATCTTAGTCTAAAATTTACGATGGAAGTTTTGTTTTTAAGTGTGTCACCATCAGCTGATGTTTCGTCGAGGTCTGCAGGGCCTGCTGTTTCAAAAGTGCTTTTATATTTTCATTTAAAAAAATGTTTAGTTAAAGACATGTTGCAGCTAATTAAAGCTAGTCAGTCTGTACACAAAAGTTAGCCAATAGAGAGCCTGAAAGTTAATGGGCAAGCATGTTGAATGAAATTTAGCCTAAAGCTAACTAAAGAGTAGTAGCAAGTAGCAAGAATAGTACATTTTTAAATGGAACACTTAAATGGAACAAATACAGTGAAACACCTCACATTGTACAAATAACTAAAAGTTAGCCTTATGTAGCTAATGGTTAGCCATGAAAAAAAGAAATTACATTTGATTAAATTAATTTAAATAATTAACTGTAGGTTATTGATGTTTGATAGTAAACTACAGAGTCATTGATGCTTCATTATATGAGGTTTAGTTGCTTAAGTATTACTCTTAGCCCACATATTTTTATATTTATCAATATATTAATAATAATTAATAAAAAAACAAACCTAAATATATTTCAAAATAACTGGCTCAAACATAGAAAGATGTTAATGTTATTAATCAGGTCACACTGTTGCCTATTTAAACACCATCTAAATTAGATTACATGGTGGGGTTGCGGCTCATTAATTAAGGACGTCTTAATTAACCTCAAAGCCCGCTCATATTTCTCCCCATGTGTGTCGTCTAATGGAGACATCTGTCATTGGCTGGCATCTCCGAGCTGCAGCTCTGAGACGCCAGCCCCACGCAGACACACGGGCAGATGAGCACAGATCAAGTTTGTTCAGACGTCAGGCTGCTGCATGTGAGAGCGTTTTTCATATGTGATAATGTGTGAGGGAGGAATGTAGTGAATCGAATGTTTGTGAGCCTCACACTGACTCATTCACTTACACAGTTGTGTTCAGTTTGCTCATGCTGGACAGTGACTGAGTCAGACCGAGCTGTCAGAGTCTGAATATCTCCGCACCGAGCTGCTAACCATACAACACACCCACACTTTTCTCATAAACCACAATGGGAGACAGAGATACCGTGGGTCTAATGTTGAGATTTAATCTCCCTGTATCAGCACTTTGGGACAAATCTAATGCTCTGGGCTGTTGTGAGAAAGAAGAATTTGACTTGTTAAGTGTATGTTTGAGAAACAGATGAGTCTGGTTTCGAAAAAACAAACACAAACAACAAAAAAACAGACATAATAGACGCAAAGATTAGATGTGATGACATTGTTTGTCAACGGTCTGAGAGATCTTTAAGCTCCTGCTAATCTGCTTCAAAATACACTGAACATCTGACATTGTCTAATGCTGCTGTAGTTGTAAAGCAGGGGTGTCAAACATATGGCTCACGGGCCAAAACCGGCCCGCTAGGGCGGTTCAATCTGGCCCTTTTGATGAATTATAAAAGTGAAAAAATGCAATAACTCTTCATGTTGTTGATGTTGATGATGTTTCTACAAATTATATTTCATTAAATGTAAGTATTTTCTAATATACTTGCACATATTTGCTAGATAATACAGGGGAGGAAACATGGACTTATTATTATTTATATGTAATTATGTTATGATTGTACTGGTCCGGCTGGATGTTTGACGCCTCTGGTGTAAATAAAAACGTGTTCAAGTGGCGCTGGATATACCTCAGTGTTTCTCCTGTGGAGGGTTTCCTCTAGGGTTGTCATATCCAGTGGTGGCAGGTCATCCCAGCTCGCCCACCCCCGCTCGCCCTTCCACATCTGCTGTTCCTGCCTGTCTATTTCTGTCACCTGTCTTACCAGTTAATAAGAGACATTTGACACAGGCTGCATCGAACCATTCTGCCTCCTCCAGATGCTATGACAACAAGTGTTAGCTTAAACCTGCTCTGTGTGGAGCAAACAACATGGATATTCTAACAATAAAGCAATGATGGGAATGTTGTGAGTCCACAGCTTTAGTCAGTACAAACATGAGTGTCTGTGATGTGAACACAATAGACAGCGGTGATAACAACATGAAGGAATGATGAAAAACATTTAGGCATGAATGGCCGAGTGGCCTTGGTCCAGCCACGTACCCACCTTTTCCTCTGAATTCTCCATAGATTCCCCCGCTGCCTCGCTCAGTGCCCATCTCTATGTTTGAATAACAAACTGTCAGACAAAAGAAATCCCCTTAAATTCCACGGAATTTTATTTTTAAAAAAGCTTTTGTTTGTCAGTTCCCTTCTGGGTTTTTTTTTGGTGCTTTTTGAGAAACCTTTGTAAACATTCTCGGTGGATTTCTTTCTTTCCTGGACTGTTTTTTTTCTCTAATCCTTCATAAAACAGTCTCTTGTTACACTGTAGTCTTTGCGGTGATAAGTCAACGTTTTAAAATGAATTATTGGGAATCATTTAGGACAGAGAAGTTGTCCTTTTCTTTGTGCAGACTTGACCGACGGCAAAGCAAGTTCTACCTAACATGAAACTGCTTCTCAATTGATTCGTAAGGCAATTTAAAAAAGTCTCCTGAGTTAATGACACTAATTAATACAGTAGATTTGGGCCATTTTAATTGAACATGATGTCAGTCATGTCATGTCAGTGAGAGGACAACTGAAGACGTGATTCAGTTTGTGACAGCGTCCATACTTCTGTCATACTGGATATTTGGAAATTTGAGGATCAACCTGTTGGTTCTAGAGTTAAGAACACGTGTCAAACTCAAGGCCCGGGGGCCAAATACCGCCCACCAGGTCAACTTTAGTGGCCTGCGGTAGCTTGAAAAATATTTAATAAAGTCCATGCAGCAGAGTTTGTTAACCTGATAAATTGAAGGGTTTTCTTTTATTACATAGCAATGAACAAACATTTGTAACTTGAATAAATAATTATCAGTTGCAGAAACATTTATTATTACCTTATGGAGTTGCTGGATCTATACCGACTTCCATTAACGCTGTATTGCTGATGTGGCCCCCGGTTAAAAATGAGTTTGACACCCTTGTCTTAGAACAAGCATCTTTGACCTCTCGACCTCTTCGAATCATATTCATATGCGCCTCAAATAATGTGTCACGCAGGAAAAAACACAAAGTTTGGCTGTTCTAATCTAACGTCTTTAGAAGACAGTGTTTTTGGAACAAAAGTTCCAAATACCCAGCAGTGGTGCTACACCCGAGGCTGTACGTTTCAGTTGGTTAAAAGTGTGCTTCAGTTGTTGTTTTTGTGTCATGTGCACTCTGAGTGTGGACGTCATGTGTGGCTGACAGTAAGAACCTTCTAGAGGGGCCTGGTAATAAAGAAAGAACCTGAAAAGAAACTAATTTCATCCCTGAAATTGGACTTCAGCTGCCAGGAGCCTCGTCCATATCTGTGCAGTGAAGTACTGGAGCAGCACAATGGGCTTTTTTCAAACGGACTTGTGTAGGAAAACAAAAGCACCACGAACAACAGTGTTTGCCTAAGATTGGGCCCTTCACATGGTGGTGCAGCTGCAGTCGGCCATGTTAATATATTTAAGTTAAATGTCAAGAATTATTTCCCTAACGTTTCCATTCCGTTTTTCTTTGACTGTCACCTGAAATGGTGAAGAAAGGTGAAGTCAGAGTCAGGGTTGAGATTTCCTGCATGGCGCCTGCTCCCCCGCAGCCTCGTGCAGCCTTAATGACGTTTGCTGCAGTGATAATGCCCTGATGTGGGAGATAGTGGCTGTGTGTAGCATGTGGCAAATTATCAGACATGCAAATCAGACGGAGGCAGCTGTGGAATCCTTAATTATGGTGCGGGTCCCCCACAAAGGCACCTCCACACCCACCCACC